GATGCCTAATTGCTCCCCTGCTGGCCTTGATCACCCCCAACTGCCCTCCCCTGCCAACCTGATGGCCCCCAACTGCCCTCCCCTGCCAGCCTGATCACCTCCAACTGCCCTCCCCTGCTGGCCTGATCACTCACAACTGCCCTCCCCTGCCACAACCTGCCCCCTCTGCTGGGCACCGCCTCCGCTGTGCATGTGGCCATCTTGTGGCGGCCATCTTGTGATGATGTGATGCGTGAGGGCGTGACAACCACCTAGGCTATTATTAGTATAGATATTAGTGTTTTATGTTTTAGAACATTGCAGCTGTATACTAAAGAAGACTTTTTTTTATTGACTTAAGCCTTAAAAGTGATAATAGATTAAATTTTTTAAGTTCCCAGAAAAAACACTAGTAAACAGGACAAAATTCTTTTAGCTTATTGTTCCTAGCTTTGACTTGACCCTGATAGGCTGCTCATTTGGAAATCATCTCATTTTAACATGGGGAACTTGTTGAGAAATGAATGATAAGCAGCCTTTATATGAATCATGAAGAAATTGACCAGACAAATGGAGTTTCACCTTTTCTAACCAAGCTACAGTTGGGAAAAATGCAGTTGAAGATCACTAACTGCCTTTGAGTGACCAGCCAGAGTCTTGTGTACATGCAGCACTGTTTTCTGGGTTGTCTCAGCAGCATGGGACTCGGGAGAAACCAGGCAGAGCAGGAGAAATTTGGCTGAAGTGGACGCACTCCTCGAGTATCTGAGAAGCCTCTCCTCAGGAGCCCGTGTGGAAGGAGTTAGGAGAACTGTTATCAAATATTGTAGAAGCACACTTTTTTTGGTCTTTTAAAGAATAAACTAATTGAAAAAAGAAAACAAAACTCTTCTAATATTTTCCCAGTCACCTAATTGTTTGATTGCTATAGCAGTGCAGAGTCCGCTACCCAAAGTCCCAAAGAAAGATATTGGACTTGCAGTAGCCTTGCAAGACTTCAGTGAGGGTGTGGCCAACACCAGATATCCCTGGTAATGCTTCCCAGGAGTGTCAAGGGAGTTCAATAACATAACAGAGCTGTGTGTTCACCACTGTGTACAAAGACAATGTGTGTAGTATTTTAACCAGAAACAACCGAAGAGAGGAGGTCAGGGCAGGGCTTAGAACAAATAGTTGAAATATGATAATCAGAAACAGAAGCACATTTTCTGATATAGTTTGTCTCCTTTCCTCCACCAAACATTTCCTCAGACTGTTTGCTCTCCGTCGCCTCTCCTCTCTTTGGTGTGCAGCTTTTTCAAGGGAGACGTGAGGAGGGGTGGGATGGCCACTCAGCCAACAGAGCGATGCTTGGGACCCACTCCCAGTGGGTTCTGCTGCCTTCTTACACTGTGGCCTTGCTGTGAGGAGGGCAGAGACTCCTGCTTCCTCTAGCCATGCTGTGTTCACACAGCCAAATGGTTTTGCATGATGATAAGTTTGACAGCCATTAAACAATTAAACAAGTCAGCAAATTGCTTAAAAAGTAACCAGTGATACCCTGGCTGGTGTGGCTCAGTTGGTTGGAGCATCATCCCTTGCACTGATGGGTTGTGAGTTTGATTCCCGGTCAGAGCACATACCCAGGTTGAGGGTTTGATCCTCAGTCAGGCACATACAGGAGGCAACCGATTGATGTTTCTTTCTCACACAGATGTTTTTCTCTCTCTCCCCTTCCCTTCCCTCTGGAATCAGTGAAAACATATCCTCAGGTGAGGATGAAAATAATAATAATAATGATAATAATAATCCTATCTAATAAAAGACAAAAAGGGTAATTAACTGTATCTCTGTTACTCTTCCCATTGCCTAATCAGGGTGATATGCAAATTAACTGCCAACAAAGATGGTGGCCGGCAGCCAAGGAGCTGAAGCGAGCAGGAGGCTTGCTTGCTCCAGTGATAAGGGAAGCCAAGGTTCCCCTCCTGCCGCGGCCAAGCTCTGAGCCCGAAAGCAACAATGTTTCAATTATAGAAGCTAAACAAACCCCAGATACCTGCTTTCAGCCGGCCAAGGCCTCAGAGCTGGGAGTGCCAGTGACGGGAACAATGTTTCAATTATAGAAGGTAAATAAATCCCAGAAAAAAAAAGAAAAGAAAAGAAAAAAAGGAGAGGCTGGGAGCTTTAGTCCCGGCCAGCCTGAAAATTGCCCTCAGCCCTTCACCCAGACTGGCCAGGCACCCAAGCGGGACCCCCACCCTGATCCGGGACACCCTTCAAGGCAAACCAGCCAGCTCCCACCTGTGCACCAGGCCTCTATCCTATATAGTAAAAGGGTAATATGCAAACTGACCCTAACAGCAGAAGGACTGGGAATGACTGGTCACTATGACACACACTGACCACCAGGGGGAAGACGCTCAATGCAGAAGCTGCCCTCTGGTGGTCAGTTGCTCCCACATGGGGGAGCTCTGCTCAGCCACAAGCCAGGCTGATGGCTGCCAGTACAGCGGTGGTGGTGGGAGCCTCTCCTGCCTCCTCAGCAGCACTAAGGATGTCTGACTGCAGCTTAGGTCTGCTCCCCACTGGCAAGTGGACATCCCCCGAGGGCTGCTGGGCTGCCAGAAGGATGTCTGACTGCCATCTTAGGCCCAATCCCCCAGGGAGCAGGCCTAAGCCAGCAGGTGGTCATCCCCGAGGTGTCCCAGACTGTGAGAGGGCACAGGCTGGGCTGAAGGATCCCCCCCGCCCTCGAGTGCACAAATTTTTGTACACCAGGCCTCTAGTAATAATAATAATAAATAAGTTTAAAAGAAAACAACAATTATGCAGGAGTTTGTTAGAAACCTTCACCCTGTACGATTGTTTGGGTGTGTATCTTCAGCATCTCTCCTATTTTAAGTCCCATTATTCTCATTCCTGGAGTATCTCCCATTTAAAGAGCCTGTATATCTTCCACTTTGTGTGCTATGGAAAGGGATCACTTCTCTAGGAATGCCAGGATGACCAGGAATGAAAAACTGTAGCACTAAGTTAGAGGATGACTTGAAGTCCCTTGCTAACCTCTGGAATTCCACTGAAAAAGGGAGTTTGTGGACAGTGATGTGGAATGAGCTATATATAGTTTAATGTATTAGGGATCTTGGGAATAACTAACTACAGTATGATCTTTTCCAAATCATAAGACTCCTTATAAAGCATTCAAAACATCTGGGTGGATGAGAGAGTAGGCACATTGTAAACCAGCTAACACTATAGGCTGGTCTCAGGAAGAGTTTCCCCCAAATCATTAAACCCACAGACATTCGCAGGAATCCCTCCCACATCCATCAGGGCCACATTCTCTTACTTAGATATATTTTGTTTGTAAAAAGATACAAAAATCTTCCTCCAAACTATAGTCACAATTTTCACATAAACACAGTTACTTATGAGCTCAGACTAAACACCAAGAAGGAGAAGAAGAGATGGTCAGCTGTTGCATCAACTCTATTCATATAAGGGTATGGGGGGGGGGAGGGGTGCTCATTTTCTCGTAATGGCTCACCCAGTGGCAAGCTCCTCAAGGATACTGACCTTCCTTTAGCTACACTTAGCTATGGACCCTGTGCTGAGCTCCCAATCAGTGATTGACATATCAAGGATTTTGTGACCTTGGGGTTTTTTGGTGGTCTTTTCTCTTTTGAAGGAATGAAAGGCATCGTGTATGATTTTGGTGTAAGGGACGATGCTCCAACCGACTGAATCACCGACCAGGTCTCTCTGCGTATGATTTTATACCAGCGCAGATGCCCCACAGTGGACAGGATCTACGTGCAGAATGTCCTCAGTCCCTTTTTACTAGTTTCTTTTGATCCCAGTCCTGCCCAGAGGTCGCCGCCATAGCTCCATCACCATGTAATATGAGTCATCTGTCTCTAGGGTTTTCTACAGCTGGGCAATGTTAGGGTGTTAAACTATTTGTTGGATCCAAGGTTGTGCTTTCTATGCTTTAGAACATGGGAGTCTCACTTGGCTTTCTTCTTGTTTATAACTTTGATGATTACCTAAGTCACTGGGGATATAAGTGATGTTCAGTGAAAGTTAACTAACAAAAACAGTCAAAACAGGCTCACTAAAGAAAAATGCACAAGACAAGGAGGATACAGCATATTAGAAATTTTGAAATGTAATCTTGTTGAAGTAAGATGTGAATAAAAAATTATATTCTTATATGCATCTAAAGCTGAATTTTTAGTAAGTCTGAATTCATAGTACCCTGAGATGAATTATAGTTTAGCAATTCATTAACTGTGATTTTGTAGACTTTTCTGACTCAGCTGTCAGCAAAGCTGATAATGTTTCATTTTAATTGTAAAGAACACATTAATTTAAAAAATAAGAAATGGGTCACATCTTAGAATGCATATCAGCCAAAAACAAAAGATGTAGTTGTTTCTGAAATAAAAATAATTAAATATAGAAAGAAATCCTATATGCCAATAAAATTAGCCACAATGTATTCTCGGAAAACTCATTAAAATTCCCCCTTAATTCTTCTTTTTATAGTTGTGAGTTTGACAGCATAAATTTCTCCCTTTGTTTTTAGTAGAAGCAGATAAAGAGGCATTTTATTTGAATAAGAAAACCAAATAGAAGTTTCAATGTGGTATTTTTTAATCTTGTTTCTTTGAATTCTTATCTATTGTGAAAATAAATTAATTTTAAGACACATTAATATGTTTAATTGGACCACACACACACACACACACACATTTCTGGACTAACAGATTGTCCAAGGCTGAAGATTATCACTGAATTCAAACCCTTTGAGCCTTCTCAGGGAATGTAGAGTGTAGGATAAGTAAGCTGTGCAAGAGGAAACATCCTTTTCCTGCTCCATGGCACATAATGGACAGGCATCAGTATTGGAGAAACACTTGCCTTTTCACCCCTGGGGGATGCAGTTCTTCTATCACTTTGGCAAAAGAGCCCCTGTTGGTTATTTTGCTCACTAAACATGCCCCTACTTCGTTGGTGTGAGGGGAGGTCTTCTCCAGATCATGGGAGATCTTCCTGAAGCAATGCAGGTGTGTGAAAATGTCTTCACTTCCTCTCCAGAACTGGTGGTGTCCTGTCCAGGTGCCTGGTGCTGGCGATGTAAGTATCCACTGCCGTATTCACTGTTGCAGGCATCCTCACTTGCACCATACTCTGCAGAGCAGATAGGTCCTGTAGTCCTAGAGGTGACATATGACCACTAACAGCTCCTGCTATTGATTCTGTGCAGACATTTCTAAAATCCCTGGATAATGCAAGTACCAACTCGTTCTCTCTTCCTCTGCCTTCTGTTTCTGTTCTGTGTACTCAGGCATTAACCTGATTATTAACCTAACCTGATGGCAATGAATGGCTTGAAGTTCCCTTGACATCCAGTCTCAGGCCTTGTACAGGATAAATATTTTTTTCCATACGGCAGAGGGTCACACCAAGTGTTAAGCAACTCATCAGGGGAAAAATCACCTAAATTAAAATGCAGGCCACCTGCGAATTTTTGTTGTTGTTGTTAATCGTATTTATATTTTAGAACTGAAAAATATTGAATAGACAGTACAAAGTTCCCATATGTCCACTCTCTTATACACAGTTTTTCCCATTACATCTTGCATTAATTTAGTACATTTGTTATAATTAATGAACAATGAATATTGGTACATTATCATTAAAGTACATAGTTTGCATTAAGTTTCATTCTTTATGTGGTATAGTTTTATGACTTTTCAAAAATTCATGATGTCATGAGCCCACCATACAACATCATATGGAATAATTTTACTGCCTTAAAAATATGTGTGTCATCTGTTCATCCATCCCTACCCTCTCCAAACTTTTAGCAACTATGCACTCTATAGAGTGATGCCTTTTCTCTAATGTCATATAGTTAGAAATATGAAATCTGTAGTTTTTATCAGACTGACTTTTTCTATTTAATAACATGCATTTAAGTTTCTTCCAGGTCTTTGTGTGGCTTGATAGTTAATTTCTTTTTAGTGCTGAATAATATTCTATTGTCTGATTGTACCATAATTTATTTATTCATTCACCTATTGAAGGACATCTTGGTTGCTTCCAAGTGTTGACAATTATGAATAAAGCTGTTCATGTGTAAGTTTTTGTGTGAACTTAAATTTTCAGCTCAATTGAGTAACTACCTAGGAGCAGGAATGTCGGATCTTATGGTAAGACTGTGCTTACCTTTGTCAGATTGCCAAACTGTCTTCCAAAGTGGCTGTACCATTTCTCATTCCCACCAGCAATGAATGAAAGTTCCTGATGTTCTATATCCTCACCAGCATTTGGTATTGCCCATTTTGTTGGATTGTAAGCATTATAATAAGTATGTAGTGGCATCTTATTGTTACTTTAATTTACAGTTCCTTAATAACATACAATGGAGCATATTTTCATGTTTATGTGTGTCATGTGTATATCGCTTTTGTGTGGAGGTCTTCAGATCTTTTGCCCATTGTTAATTGGGTTGTTTGTTGTCTTATTGCTGAGTTTTATGAGTACTTTGCATAGTTTGACTACAAGTCCTTTATCAGGTGTGTGCTTTGCAAATAATTTCCTCCAGAACTGCTTTTGTAGAGCTGGAAAGAGTGTTCTCTTCCTAAAAGACATTATGCTACATACATAGGTCAACGAAATGCAATTAGCTACCAACTTGTGGTAAGAGGTTTAAAAGTGCTGAGCATACATTAATGCCCGAAAACACATAACCTACCATACTGCTCTTTATTGTAGTTAAGCAATTATCTTTTAGAATCTTTTCTGAAAATATTCACTTTATGGTTAAGCTGACTTTAGCTCCAGTTAAGAATTGGTTATATTTTTACATCTTAAAAATCTTTAGTGTTAAAAGGATAAAGCTGACTATACACTTAGATTTCAAAGGGAAACTTGATATTCACTGTTTAAAGACCAAAGACTGTTTCTCATAATGATATTCTAAATAAAGAGTTGTGTGGTGCAAATCCTTGTTACCACTTTAAAGTGCTGCCTGCCTCCATCAGTGGCACCTCATGCTGGACACGACTCGTTACCTGGCTTAGGAAGATGGGGCTCCATGATGGCTCGGATCTCAGTCTGGACCAGAACTTCCAAGGCCTGTGCTTAGTTCTGCTCCTGCTGAGGCATCAGTAAGGGTTCCTCCTTTCTTACTCAAGGAAATCCTCAGAAATGTAGAAAGCTCTTGCTGAGAAACAGTGACTGACGCTTGAGTTTTTTTCTTTTAGTTAAGAGAAGCTTGCATTTTTTTGAATGAAGAAAACCAGTTTGTTTGTTTGGCTAGTCCAGTCAGTACTTGCCATTTTTCTTAGTTATCCTACCATAAACCTGCTTGGGAGATGATTAATTTTAATAAAATTTGGCTGATAATTACCCAAATAAAATTTGATGTTTGCTTTGTGGGGTGGTGGAAAAACATGACATCTTCAAAAAGTGAGTCACATTTTAGAAGGAAATAAATTTGAGGAAAGAATAGCATAAAGGCAAAGATGTACCCCTGGAAGGGTAAAAAAAGGTACTTGGTATATGCTTTGAAATCAGAGACTTTGTGAAATGAAGAAATCAGTTTTAATTATCACAACTTGATGTATATAAAAGTCTTTAAGTCATAGAGCTCAGGGTTATACTCTGTTGAAGTCTAAGCAGCTTGTCTTATTACATATTAGTGATTTTATTGTAGGAAGAAATGTAATTCAGTGATTTTCCAGCCATGAAGTATTAGTCAGAACAAGCTAGTTGCTATAATAAACAATTCTAGGTTCAATGGCTTAGCACAGTAAAAATTTACTTCTTGCTTATGTCATGGTATACTGTGGGCTGGAGGGAGGGTGTGGTGGGGTCTACTTTCTACACTCATTAATGTGATGGCTCATTCATTTAAAGGGTTTCCCCATCCCAAGGCCTTTGGAATTCTCTTCTGGAAACTCTGCATATAGCTTTCAATGAGAGACGAGAAGGTGAGAGGTTTTTTATGGGTTAGGCTTGGACGAGGTAAACATCTTTTCTGGCCCATGCTCTGTTGGCCAGTCATATAGCCCCACCTATTCTGTGAGAGAGGTTGGGAAAGGTAATCTCGCCATATGCCCAGAAGGAAAATAAAACAGGATTTAATGACTCAAAGTAGCCTCTGCCACTTATGACTACATCACAAAACAAAACAAAAACCAAAAAACTGTGTGAAGAAAAATATGAGAAGTGATGAGAACTCTCAAATAGAATGACATTTATAATTACATTGATTATTCAGCCTCTTTCTATACTTTTAGGAAGAACTGACTTTATAAACTTATTCTTGTGTTTCTGGAAGTAAAAAACCCAAATCTAACCCTTCCTCCTGAATACATGGTGTTACTAAATGAATGAATGAATAGAAAGAATTACATTGTTTCCAATATGATTTGACAGTGCTGATGAGTTGTGGGAGAAATTTATTTCATCCTCAAGGAATAAACATATAGATAATGTTTTATTTTTGTTTCATATTAACATCATTTCAAATTTTAATTACTTTGCAACAAATCTCCCCTAAATTTGGTGGCTTTAAAGAGTGACGATCATGCCATAATTCTTTCACAATTCAGAAATTTGGTAGTGGCTCAGCTGGGTGGTTCTGGTTCTGGATTGTCCCTGGTGTGATAGCAATTGGGTAGTGGCTGGACCCATAATCTCAGGATGCTGAAGCAGCTGGGATTAGAGAAAGACCATAGGGAGAGATGCTATCCATGCAAGCATAGTTATCTACTTAATGGCCTCTCTGCATCATCTAGTTTGAACTTCCTGTCAAAATGGTGGTATTAATCTGGCTGTTCACACAGATGCTGAAGTCTTCAAGAAATGTCTTTCTGCCTTGAAGTGTCCTTAGCTAGATTATTAAGTTCATTAGATACAACTTAAATTTTTTCTCTGTTTCTTCCAGTGACCATGTTACCAAACTTTCCACCAAAAGGTTCCAATTTCCTCCAGCTTCCAGTAATGTTTTCCTTACTTCCCTTTACGCTCTCACTGACCGTCTCATCAAGAACCTTTAGGCTTCTCCTAACGCTCTCGCCGAGGCCCCTTGGGCTTTTCACTCACAGCCTCCTTCTGGCTCTTCCACCTCCCACCCACCTCCCAGACCCAAAGCCAACGTCATGTGGTCCAGCTTTTTGTAACAGCGACACCTTACTCCAGGCACCAATATCTGTTTCATTTATATATCTCTGCATAATAAATAGCCACAACAGTTATTGGCTTCAAAGAACAATAATTCTGCTATTGGCTCTCACTGTTTCTGTAGACCAGGAATGTGGGAAGGTCTCAGATGGCCAGAAGGTCTGAATCAGAGTCTCCTGCAGTTGCACTCACATTACAGTGGAGCTGGAACCACAGTTGGCAACCTCAGCAGGCTATTCTGAGAATTAAGTGAGATGCTCATAAAGTGCTTAGTGCTGTGCTTGTCATGCCGTTAGTGTTCAAAATATATAGCTCTTATTTATTTGTGCATCTTTCATGAAACCTAGGTAATGTTTTGTATGTAATTCTCTTTAATGTTAACAAATAAAATAAGAAAATAATGGAGTTTTAGGAACCATATATTCCCCATTTTATTGTGAATTTCCAAGGATATTTTGGATTGAGTTTATTTGATCAGGGAAGAAAAAATTAGCTAATGAAAGATGGCACCAGACGAGGATATTACATTCCTGATACCCAGGTCTTCTTTCTTCCCTCTGTAAGCCTAACATCTACTTCTAACAAAGTGTAACTTGCTCTTGGTTTTATCAGGAACTTTATGTTGTGTCAGAACGAACTCATCCCACAGATTAGAACCTCCAATTCTCATCGTTTTCAATTCTGCCAACCAGTGGGTCCTCATCTGAAAAAAAAAGAAACTTTCTATGGATTTTTAAGATCGACCCTTCCTATGTTTGGTGGGATTGCTTTTTCATTACCTTAGAAGAATGGAATTCTATTGTGTCTACCCAGATCAAATTGTTAATTTTAAGGACAATCAAGAGGAGCTGAGAGATTTGGGAGGTTGAGGCAAGATGTCCCTTGAGTGCTGTCCCATGGTGCTGGGTGGTTCTTATTCACCCCTGCCTTCTGCTGATTGGATTTTTCCTTTTTATTGAATTTATTGGGATGACACTGGTTAACAAAATTATTCAGGCTTCAGGTGCACAGTTCTACAATACATCATCTGTACACTGTATTGTGTGCTCACCAACCCAAGTTGCAGATTGGATTTTGAGGTGGTGGTAGAGAGAGGAGAGAGACAGAGATACAGGACTTGTGATTGAAAAGCATAACAATGAACTTGACCTAGTGTTTACTTTTGGCATATGCTTGAAGGAAGAGAAGGAACAAAAACACTCTTAAAAATGCCACACACTTTAAAACCTGACATCTGACTAACCTATGGATTGCTATTATTGGGGATCAGCCCAAATTGACACCTTGAAAACATTCTGGGGTCAAGAAACTTCCAAAAACATTTCTTAAAGTCATTCTCTTGGCACCTCATAGACTCTTTTCAGAAAAGAAAATTTGCTCAGAGCAGCTTTTTTTGATTTTGAAGTCAGTTCTCGAATCTGAAAGCAGTTGCAGGCCCTGGGAGGCAGTTTTTCTTCTGGCTGGATTGCAGCATGCATTTTAACGTCCTGCTACATTGAAAAGGTGTAGGAGAAAGTCACAGATGCAACATTCACGAATGGTTTCCAGCCAGTGGAGAAGAAGTAGACTTCAGGAGAGTGGGAGGACTGAGCACGTCTCCGTGTTCACCATCTTGGTTTCTGTTCAGAAGCCCACCATGCCCACGCCATTCTTCTGGAACTCATTTTTCTTCTTTTGAGTGGGCATTCCTATAAAGAATGAAATGAGCTGAAAAAGTGTGCACTGTTTCAGAAATAAAATCAGGTTTGTATCTAGGTGTAAAAGGAGAGAATGAGGACTTGCACTTCGTTAAAAGTCGCCCCCTCCCCCCTGTTTTTCCACTTAGAGAATGCTAGCCTGAAAGGTAAGTGACAACAGCAAAACAACTGGAATAGTTGGTGATAAATCTTAGGCCCTAAAATTTACAAAATGGAAAAGAGAAAAGTTAATTTAGCAAATGTAAGAATTTGCTACTTATTACAGCTGTCAACATCTGGAACGTGCATCTCTTCGTGCTGTTTAGAAAGGCTCATAAGATACA